TCCAACCCACCCCTAGTCCCTAGTTCAAGTTGAACAAGCAATCTAGGATCGGAGCACACGAGTGCAAATACAGTCCTTGGTAAAATCAAGGCTGTGTCCTGCCTGCCAGTCGAAAATTAGAAACCTAGCGCCTGATGGTAGGTTTGCCTGTGGCAAAAATAAAAGCAACTGCTGTCGGGTGCCGAGTTGAGCATTGGCAGGTGTCAGTCAAATTTCTGATTTCATATGGGCTCGAGTCGTATCTAGGAGTGGACATTTGGGGGTACATGGAGTAAAAACTGGGGGTACCTAGTCATGAATGTATTATTGGGGTGCACAGTACTGAACATTGGGCTTCGTGAAAATAAAAGTTGGGGTCCATGGGGGGGGGGACACTGGGGTACATTGGAGTAAAATGTAGGGGTACACGGGAGAGAATATTGGGGTCCATGGGAGTGAACGCTGGGGGTGCATATTTAGACAAACCCGTGACAGTGCGTGCACGGTGCTAGCCCCAGGGGGCGCCTGACGGCATTCTTGTATCACGATTCAAAGATGGAAAATGTGGTGTTTAAATTCTGTGCACAGAAAAAATAAACCATGAACCACTTTTGTACCCGGTGGATGGGAATGTTTGCTTAGCTTTTCTCAATAGTATTTTTTTTTTTTTGGTGCGTCTTACTATTGTCATTCCAGAGCGTTAATTATCTCCGATCAGAGATCCAGGGATCTATCTTCCTGTTTAAAAAATAATTGAGTAATAATGGAGGTTATATATCTCTTTCTAAGGCTTTTTTTATCTAAAGGAAACGAAAATGAAGGGTGGAACCCAGTTTCATTCGAAGTTTTTACTCCAGCCGAGCGCAGTGAGCTACGCCTGTCATTTCCTCAGCCCTGTGTAACGCGACCCGCCGGTTAGTGCTGTCTTTCAATCGGCTGTTTGTTTTTCCTGTTGCAATTGATTGCAGGGACTGTACATCCAGAACAACTGCACCGTAACCGCAATCGGACGCGGGAGTCAAAAGACGGGCGAGTCCTGTTCAGGTTTCCGAGAAAGACTGTCTGGGGGAACTCCTTCTGAGACAAGCGGAGGAAGACGCAGGGCGGAACACGACCAACGATGTGTAGACTTCGTAGAATTAGATGTTGTCTCTAACGAAACGTGAAAAAAGTCGAATTCAATGAATATTATGTAATTCTGTCATTAAATTAGAACGGTAAAATTCAGATCAATCTCCACCCTGCTCTCGGTATTAAATTAATCCACTGCCAGAAGCTATGAAGTTGAATAAATCGAAAATAAGCAGTACGCAGATATTACAGAAATCATTTGAGCATTGTTTATTGCACACGATTATAGACGATTCGAAGTTATTAAATAATCATTTCAAAAAGGGAGCGCGTGGCGGCTCCAACAGCGTGAAACCCGTGTTAAACGCGCGTGTTTTAAAACGACGGTGTACGATAAAATAAACGCACAGAGAATTAGTCACGCACTGGACTCACAGTTTCAAAACAAAAGCCAGCTTTCATTGCATCACAAAGTACATCCAGACCAGTGTACATCGACATAGATAGTTGCGGGAGAATTGGCCAGCGAGGAGGAAATGATCGGAATTGTTAGCAATTACAGCTGATCAAGAGACATTTCCGTAATTGTAACCGAAATCCGTCCGCTGCTCGGTTGGGGTTTAGTGTTACAGGGGAAAGCGGTGTGCGACCCGCATTCTAACAGGAAACACGTTTCCCGGCGTGGATGAATCAAACAAACGGCGATTTGTGTTTCATTTTTCAAGAAAGAAAAAAAAAACAAGTTATAGGTATTTCCTGACATGGTATGGCGGGGCTAATGCAATTACCCTCGCGGACCTAAACACGATCACGTTGACGATTTAGTATAATTTAATGATAAAAATGCAACTTAAATAAACTTGCGGATTTCAACCAAGAGTTCGCGATAATGAAATAAAAAAAGAAGACCATGTGCGTCAGTATGGTAGTAGTAGGAACAACTGATTTCAGGTCAGAACTAAAAACATAATCATAATAATAATATCACGATTTGAATTCAGTCTAGGAGCCAACCAAAGAAGATTTCTCGTTTTGTCACAAATGTGTTATGAATTCTGTCATTAGATCATTCGTCGTATTTTTTAAAATGCAATTAGAATAACAAGTATTTGTCCTACAGTTTATATTTGCGTTTAGAATCCGGGCGGAGTCCTCAGGGTCCAGTTGCATCCGTCTACGATTTTAGATTGTGCTCGATTTCACAGACGACAGAATTTCACTCGCGGTTAGAACGGAAACAACAATATCATAAAAGCTTTTGTGTGATTGTTGCCAGATATTTAATTAAAAAAAAAATAAATGAACAGCCAAAACCAATTTAGATGGAAAGGGGAGGGGGGGCATGATTTCAGGTCTCAAAAAAATACATTTTCCTTCTCTGTGACTTCTCAATACGGCGGTCTAAAACGTTTCCACCAATGACTAAACCCACCGCCCCGTGTAAATACAGCTGTACTTTGTTTTGCCCTCGACATAATTATTTTTTTGTGATTTTTAAAAACAATTTTAATAGGCCTTGCTAAACTTTATTTGGGTAAAACGGATCTATTTCATGTTAGACAGTAATTTAATAATCCAGACCTGTCATTACGGCCAGTCATACAATGCCCCGGACTTCACATGATGGTACCTCATGAAAACCAGACCAGGACTCTCCTCACAGCCCTGCGGAGGCAGGGGGAGAGCAGAGAGCGGCAGGAACGACTCCGTCTGGTGACTTGAAACATCGAATGTGTGTTGAGGGAAGCTCGCAGGCTCGCGTAGGAAATGTTAGCTTCGTTCGAGGTGGAATAGATTTCAAGACAGCAGCTGAAATGCGGCCTCCCAGCTGGTCTCACTTAGCCGGAGAGGAAAAAAAAAAGTGTCCCCCTGATCCCTTACCTTTTCATACACACAATGCATTTAGCCTGTTCCAAGGCAAATTCTAAAAGAAGCGGAAAACATTCCCATAGTTTTTGGTCCGTTATGTAAACGATTATTATTATTATT